GATTATGTTTTTACCTTAACCCCTGTTCGTTGCTGAGCTCGAAGGCAGAGTTTAGGGGAAGCTTTGTGACTATTGTTTTTGGTTCTCTCTAATTGAACTTGCTCGCAATTGTGTAGTGCGTCTAGTGATAGTCCGTTACAGAGAGAAACGGAGAAAGAACGAGTCTTTTAACGACTGTGTTGCTCCTTTTTTCTCTGATTTAAGATTTTGAGGTATGCAGAGAAATGAGGTTCAAGTGCCATTGAATTTGATAGCTAGTTTAGTTCTCGTCCTGGCCCTTCGTGTATATGTGCAAGGGAGAAAGAGTTCTCCTTTTTAGTTGTTACTCGTGTTTGTTGGGTTGCTGAGTAAATGTAGGATAGTTATGGTTTAGAGAGATTAGGTTTAAGATTAGTGCTTCTTTAGCTAAGTTCATGTCATGTGCCAACTAAACATATCCTACCCTTTTTGTTGAGGACCACAGATTTCTATTAGTACTAGTTAAGGAATCTGGTTTTTGTCTGAAATTAATGTCCGTGAATCCATGCATCCACTTTTTGCCGTTTTTGGTTGATATTTGAATGTTTTCCGTTTTGGGTTTATTGGTTGATTATGTGGGGTTACATTGCAGTGTCTGTGGAATGTGTGAACATATGTAATTTAACGAAAGGAGACGGGAATGTAAGAAGCGATTGCAATGCTCTCTCCTGTGCTTGGAAAGCTCCAAGAGCATTAACTGGGTTTCTAGCTACCACTGCTCATCCACCTGTGTGTTCGTTGTATTTTTGTGGCAGAAATGGAAGAAAGAGCAGAGTAAAATCTGTAAGTATGCTTTCTTGCTTTTGTTTATGTAGAGGGGTGTTATGATTATCTTGCGTCGCTTTAATGGATATTTTAAGCTCCAGAATTGTGTTTCTACTTTTTGTTTGTTTGTGAATACCTTGCTCGTGTTGCCATGGTGGCTGTATTTGCAATCTAATTTTGAGATTCCTTATGGTCACTCCTTTGGATAATGTAGTGCGCTTGGCAGAGTTATGAATATGAAGTAGGTATTTCTGAGGTTCCTCACTTTGTAAATGTGAGAAAAGTCTTGAGGTCCAGATTATCTTTTGGTGGTCCTAAAAGATGGGAACTGTATTGCTTATCATCCGAATCTTCTGGTGCGTCCGATGATGTTACCGTTGAAACATTATGGGAGGTACTAGACCCTGCCCTCTTCATTTTTAAAGGCACTTATTAGCACAATACTCTTAAATTATTTTGATTGATGGTTATCTCTACAGGACCTTTTCCCATCAATATCTTACTTATCCTGTAAAGAATTAGAGTTTGTTCAAAAGGGCCTTAAGGTATGATGATATAAGTTTCTTAATATTTTAAAGGTTTTTTATCCTATATCATTGCCCCTTTGTCGTGTTAATTATTGAAGTAAAGTTCAGTTTTCTGGTATTCATTTCTTAATTCAGTAAGAAAGGTTTGTGCAGTTAGCGTTTGAGGCACATCATGGTCAAAAGAGACGTAGTGGGGAACCATTCATTATACATCCAGTTGCAGTTGCTCGTATCCTTGGGGAACTTGTGAGTTGCATAATACATTGTGAATATGGATTCACATAAGGACAAGTTAAAAAGCTAAATAAGTTATTTTTGTTGTTGTTTAGGAATTGGATTGGGAGTCTATTGTTGCTGGATTACTACATGACACAGTCGAGGATACAAATTTTATAACTTTTGAAAAAATAGAAGAAGAGTTTGGTGCAACCGTGCGTCACATTGTAGAAGGGGAGACCAAGGTCTGCAGATTTGTGTTTGCTGCAATATTTTTCCTATCCTCTAACCTTTTACAGAGGAAGAGCTCTACGTTTTCTTTGCCATGAAGTTCATTTATTTATAAAAGTTGTTTCCTGTTAGGTGTCAAAACTGGGAAAATTGAAGTGTAAAACAGAAAGTGAATCAATACAAGATGTAAAAGCAGATGATTTGCGGCAGATGTTTCTGGCAATGACAGATGAGGTTTCAATTTTCCAAATTGTGTTTCAGTTGGTGTGGTTATATCATTCATCAGCAAACCTAACTGCTTCATTCCAGGTCCGCGTCATTATTGTCAAGCTAGCTGACCGGTTGCATAATATGCGAACTCTCTGCCATATGCCTCCCCATAAGCAGGTGATTCTTTCAAGTAGTTGAGATTTGTTGCCCATGCAGCTCTCAGCTCTATGTTTCATTTGTGATGACTAATGACTTTGTGATTTTGTTCAGTCCAGCATTGCAGGGGAGACTTTGCAGGTTTTTGCTCCATTGGCGAAATTGCTTGGAATGTATTCGATAAAGGTATACCCCTTACACATTGTTCTCGTTTGCTATTATTCTAAAAACAATATTATGCCACAAGGTGGCCATAGTTTCCCGGTCACATCAGTTGAAATGTATTCTAGCGTGTATATGAAACCTAATTATCTTAGTTGTTGTGTCCCATGGCGTTCTGATTTTTGTGGTGCTAATCTTGCAGTCTGAACTGGAAAATCTATCGTTCATGTATGTAAATGCTGAGGATTATGACAGAGTCACAAGCAGGATTGCTAATCTCTACAAGGAGCATGAGAAAGAACTCACTGAGGTAATTTCAACTTACTATCGGCTCTTGCTGAAATTGCTAAAACATTGATTGAAAAGGGAAAGGAAATTAGACAAGGATGTGGATTATTGACCTACACGCTCTTTGACCTTTTGAACTGTGAATTCATCTGGGAGTTTATTTACTTCATCTACATTCACAGAGTCCTACTATGTATCTTAGGCAAACAGAATTTTGGTGAAAAAGATTGAAGATGATCAGTTTCTGGACCTTGTGACTGTGAATACTGATGTTCGATCTGTTTGCAAGGAAACTTACAGGTGAATCCATTAAGTGACTTGTTCATTTTACTCTGTAACCTACCCTTTTTCTTCTGCATCTGAAGTCTCTTCTTTTTTTACCTTCAGCATATACAAAGCTGCACTCAAATCGAAAGGATCAATTAATGACTACAACCAGATTGCTCAGGTTTGTGTTGTACTCTGATCTCCAAGTTGTATCAAAAGTTTTGGATACAGAACTTCCATCTGCGAGCTTAATATGATTGTTAACACGCTACTTCTCCAAATTTGTTTATTTTAGCAGTTACGGATTGTTGTAAAGCCAAAACCATCTGTAGGGGTCGGGCCTTTGTGCAGTCCACAACAGGTGAAATCCCAATGAAAATGAATTGAGTATCTTTTGTTCCCATCCGTTTTGGTGTGTTACTTAGCTTTCTCACTCTGTCGTCAATGCAGATATGCTATCACGTTCTTGGGCTAGTTCATGAGATCTGGAAACCTATTCCCCGAACTGTACGTATCTAATCCTCTGTTCGTTCAGAATATATCTGTACTACATTACGTCTGAGCAGATGTCTTACCTTTTTGTTACAGGTAAAAGATTACATTGCGACCCCAAAGCCTAATGGCTACCAGAGCCTCCATACTACTGTGATTCCGTTCTTGTATGAGAGTATGTTTCGGCTGGAGGTTCAGGTACTTTAGATGATCGTGTTTCATCACATTCTTAGAAAAACACCAATGATGATTACAATTGAATTTGGTTTCGGTCTCTTAAAGGTTGAAGCATGGGATAATTTCTTAAAGGCTTTGATTGGGTATGAAACTATATTTCTTTCTGCAGATTAGAACGGAGGAGATGGACTTGATAGCAGAAAGAGGCATTGCTGTTTACTATAATGGCAGGGCTCTATCTACTGGATTAGTTGGAAACTCAGTTCCTTTAGGTAGAAATTCAAGGGGGAAAACGGGTTGCCTCAACAATGCAGATTTTGCACTCCGGGTATTCTTTTTACCATACTCGCAAGTAAAAATGCAGAGAGACAGCTAGAAGTAGGCGGTGATATTATTTTTTTCTTGCCTTCCCAATATGATGTAGTTATGACAGTTTATTTTTACAGGTTGGGTGGCTAAATGCAATAAGAGAATGGCAAGAGGAGTTTGTGGGTAACATGAGCTCTAGAGAGTTTGTGGATACCATTACGCGGGATCTTTTAGGTAGCCGCGTGTTTGTATTCACACCTAAAGGAGAGGTAAAGACTAAACTCACCTCAAATCTTCTGAAACGTTCATCTAAAAATTTCACACCTTTGCTTAGATGCGTTGGCAATCTATTTGCAGATAAAGAACCTTCCTAAAGGGGCCACTGTTGTTGACTACGCTTATCTGATTCACARGGAAATCGGAAACAAGATGGTAGCAGCAAAGGTATATTTTTCATTCCTGTCGGTGATTTCCATGATATCTTTGAGTTTTCTATCTATTATCTTTGAAATACAGACAACAACTGGAGCAGACGTTAAAGATACTTAATTGCTTGAAACTGCAGGTCAATGGTAATCTTGTTTCTCCAACGCATGTTCTTGAGAATGCCGAGGTCGTGGAGATACTCACCTACAACGTTTGTACCTTTTCTCTCTTGCATTTGTTTGTCAATTTCTCCCTTTCTTTTTGTTCTGCGTAGGCAAATTTTTATTATTATTGTCACATCACAGGCCCTAGCTCAAAGGCTTGATCTTCTTACCTAGTTTTCACGAGCTCTCATCATATTTTTTTATTATTATTGTCACATCACAGGCCCTCTCAAGCAAATCTGCTTTCCAGAGACATAAACAGTGGTTGCAACATGCCAAAACAAGGAGTGCGAGGCACAAGATCATGAGGGTATGTTATTGTTATTCCCTTACTTTATGCTAAATGGCTTACTATTACTAATTGATGCTTCTCAACTTCTTCCAGTTCCTAAGGGAGCAAGCTGCGCAATGTGCTGCAGAAATAACCCAGGATCGAGTGAATGACTTTGTGGCAGACTCTGACAGTGACATGGAAGATCTCACAGAAGATTCAAGAAAAAGCCTTCAGTGGTGGGAGAAAATTCTCGTTAATGTTAAGCAATTCCAGTCACAAGACAAAAGCAAAAATACAACACCCGTTTCTCAAAACGGAAGCGTTTGGGTTCCAAAGGTGAATGGGAAACACAACAAAGCCATAAAAGACTCGAGTTTGGAGAATCAAGAGTTCTTCTTACCTGGAGATGGAATTGCCAAGATTTTACCTGCTAACATCCCTGCTTATAAAGAAGTGTTGCCCGGTTTAGACAGTTGGCGAGCCAGTAAAATTGACTCATGGCATCATCTCGAAGGTCACTCCATCGACTGGTTATGTGTAGTATCCATGGATCGCAAAGGTATTTTTTTCTTCATTTTCTTGTGGTCGTGATTCCAACCACTTCTCTGTTTCTCTCTATTGGAGAATCAAATCACAACGTTTTGTTATATTTGGACAGGCATAATCGCAGAGGTTACAACAGTCCTTGCAGCTGAAGGCATAGCAGTATGTTCTTGCGTGGTGCGTAATTTGACTTTGAGAACTTGCTTCATAACTTTTAATAGTTCTTAACGACTCATTTAACTAATCTCATGGTTGTTTTTCTGCAGGCCGAGATTGACAGAGGAAGAGGATTAGCAGTGATGTTGTTTCAAATAGAAGCAAACATTGAAAGTTTGGTAATATATACGTCCCAATGTTCTAAACTCTCCTAACTATTTTCTTTTATCGACATTGGATCTCTAAACCCTAACCCGAATCTCTATGGATTTGTAACTCTCAGGTTAGTGTTTGCGCAAAGGTGGATCTAATCTTGGGTGTGTTGGGATGGTCCAGTGGTTGTAGCTGGCCAAAATCAACAGACAATGCTCAAGTTCTTGAGTGTTAACAGCCAAAGGACTCATGTTCTTGGCCATGAAGTTTTGTCATGATCACTGGAAACAATAAACAAACTTGAGAATACCTCTGGTTGCTCCAAGTAGAGAGGTAGGGAGAGCTTTTATAATATTCTTGAAAAAAATATATCATTTTGTTTTAATAATAAAACCATATAAAAAAGAGAGAGTCAAATTCTTTTAGATGTTTTTGTGTTCAATAAATCAAGGTCATTGTATATAAAGACCAAAGATTGGGATGAACATACAAATGTAATATGTAGATACACTCTTATTAAATCTATATACTTGCACATAGAACAAAAAAATACAGATGTATTTGTTTATATAACATGTTCGTGATTTTTGTTTTCTTGTTCCTTTGTTGGTTAACGAAATCTTTGTTCCTTTAAACCATGAACTTTTTAACACAGCACCAGTTTTGCAATTAGATGATTAGAACAAATACCATAAAACTTCGAGGAAAGACAACATATACATGAAAGGTCATGATAAATAAATTAAACAACAAACAAAAACCAAACTCTTAAGCTCATTTTCAGGCAACATTATACGACAAATCAAACAAACGAAAAAATATTCTCCAAGAACATTTTAAATTTCATGTTCATCATCAAAAGATGTTTATAATTTAGTAGTAAGTAGGTTCAGAGGTGAAGAAGAAAGGACCAGCCCAGTAAAGCTTGAAACTCTTGTCTTCAAGAACACGGTACTTGCTCAATGGCATTCCTCTCACACCGTGGTTCACATCGGTCGGGAAATCGCAATCAGCGATTGGAGATTCGTAAAGGAAAGCTTTGCATTTAGTCACCATTCTTCCTGCACGAAGCTGCGAAGGGAATAGTGTGGCGAAGAAGTAACCTTTAGCATCACTTTTGCTGCTCATGATCGAGATTGGAACTATCTCTTTGCCATATTCATCAGACTTCACACATGCAACTCTTACCGTAGCACCTGTCGCAAACAAACAATTAACGCGCCACTGTGTGAATATT